GACCTCAACTTGTGATTTTGGGAAAGACACAGTCCAGCCCACAACACACAAGGACCGTGCAGCTCGCCCAGGACCAAGGGGACCAGTGGTGACATCTGGCTGGCTTGCGATCAGCGCTCTGAGCAGCTGTGTGGTTGTGCTGCAGCCCAGCTCCGTGGGAAAGCAAGCCCAAGGGTGGAACTCCAGACCTCGAGACCCCCAGGGGATTGCCTGTGGCCAGGGGCAGCCAGCCCTTCGCAGATTCATTCAACAAACACGGAGCCGATGGCCAGAGTTCCTTAACCTACCAAGTCAGGCCTGACATCTCTCACCTGCACTTTTTTTTTTGAATTTTATTTATTTATTCATGAGAGATACAGAGAGAGAGGCAGAGGGAGAAGCAGGCTCCACGCAGGGAGCCCGACATGGGACTGGATTCCAGGACTCCAGGATCACGCCCCGGGCCTAAGGCAGGTGCTAAACGGCTGAGCCACCCAGGAATCCCCTCTCCCCTGCACTTTGAAAACGCTTCTTGGAGTTTCTCCTGCCTCTGATCTTGCCCTCATTACCCCATTCCACTTCCTGCTCCAAAAATGCCAGCCTCTTCCTCTTTCTCCCCATTTAAAAGCTGCTGGGAGCCCATTGTCACCTTGTCCTCTCACAGAGATGGGGAGGCCGGGGTGGAGTGGCCTTGGAACAACCACAGCCAGGGTCTTCTCCGAACTCTGGGACCAGAGCTCCCTTCTCCCCAAACAGGGTCGGGCCATGGGTCACATCTGCATGCTGCTCCGTTGCAGGAGGGGGTCTGTCCTGAGGCAGTGCCCCATCCCCCACCCCCCACTTCCACCTCACACCCCACACCCCACACCCCACCCCTGGGCCCACAGGCTTCCAGGGGTATCCTCCAAAGGAAGGGGGTTTCTGTACAGACAGAAAAAAATGAGTGGCCAATTCAGCACTGTTTTCCAAACTTCACAAAATCTAAAAAAAACAAAAACAAAAAAAAAAAAACCTCTTTTAAATTGCATCCCCGTATATAAAGCCACAGAAGCACACCAGAAATTTTATAAATCGGTATCTCTCTCTACCAGACACGTAACACTATTTATCTTCCATTTAATTTGGGATGCAGGGGTATCCCCAAAGTCTTGGTGTAGTTTTAGGTTTTAATAACTTGAGAAGTGTAAATGCTACAAAACTACAGCACACGTCCGTTGAATATTTACTTATTTAAATTCTTCTTATGCTTAGCTACCTGACATTTGAATGCCAAGTTTTCCATTTTAATTCCTTGTGTGTGCCAGAGTCTGGATGGGTGGGCAGGGGGACGAGTCCTCTCCCCCGGGCACCTTGGTGAGCTGGCCAACCTCCGTTAACGTGATGTCCAAGCTGTCAGGTGTGCATCAAATCCTCGCAAGATCGAAAGGCTGGAATCAGAAATGCGATCCCTCAGTTACTGAAGCTCAGGCCATGAGTATTGTTTTCAAAGTCCAAAAAATCAACTACAGCCATATCTAGCACCAGACTGTGGTAATTACATGAATTTGAATGAGAAACATCAATATATTTAACATGTAAATAGCCTCTCCAGTGTCGTTTTCTTGCTATGTTTGTAGCATTCATGCTTCTGAAATTATTAAAGCTGAAAATGACACTAAGACCTGGGTCGCACATTTTTTTAAGATACCGGTAGCAACCTCTCAATTGCTTTCATAACCCGCCAACGGGGTCACAGCTACAGCTTAAGAAGCAAAAAATAAAAAAATAAAATAAAATAAGAAGCAGCACACTAAAAATAAATTAAATAAATAAATAAATAAATAAGCAGCACACTTCAAAAGTCAAGTGCAAGATTCAAAGGTAGAGCAGCCTCTCCCCGGGAGGGTGTTGGCAGGTCAGCCTTCGCTGGGTGTCCCTTGGGGATAGTGGGGTGTGCCTCAGGTCTTGATTTTCTCACCGTGCACTGCAGTTATTTGTGCAGATGTCTTTCCAACTGGATCACGAGCTCCTTGAGGAAGGGATTGTGCTCGTATCTCTCTTATCTTTGTGTCCGTCACACGTAATGGGAGAATCGACCGCCTCTCTAGTCTCAATATTGGGCTTATTTCTGGGGTCCAGCCCTGAACAGGTTAAGGGCTGTTTGTCTCTCTGTTTTCTCCTCTTCCTTAAAAAAACAAACAAACAAACACACACACACACACACAAAAAAAAAAAAAAAAAAAAAAACCTCATTGACTTCACAGTTCAGATACCCCTGTGTAGCATTTTTAAAATATGTCGAGTTGGGATCCCTGGGTGGCGCAGCAGTTTGGCGCCTGCCTTTGGCCCAGGGCGCGATCCTGGAGACCCGGGATCGAATCCCACGTCGGGCTCCCGGTGCATGGAGCCTGCTTCTCCCTCTGCCTGTGTCTCTGCCTCTCTCTCTCTCTCTCTCTCTCTCTGTGATTATCATAAATAAATAAAAATTTTAAAAAAAATAAAAAATAAAAAATAAAATAAAGTATGTCAAGTAATTCATGCATATTCATGCATATTATTAGAAAATCCAAATATACTGAAATGAATCAAATGAACAGAGAAAGGCTGCCCTTCCCCAGAGGTAGCCCTTCCCCCCAAAGGTAGCCACTGCTAACAGTGCCTTGCGTGTCCTTCCAGAAAACATTTCCTCAGCGTTTGGAGCGTTTATGTGCATCTCCATTCTTATATTTATACCAAGAAGGTTGCCCTTCTCACACTGTGCTGCTTCTTGCTGCTTCCTCTTGGTAACTTATCCTGATGCATTTCTCACATCAGTCTGTACGGTTGCCTGCTTTTTAAAGCACTGTGTTGGGGACGCCGGGTGGCTCAGCGGTTGAGCGTCTGCCTTGGGCTCAGGTCGTGATCCCGGGGTCCTGGGATGGAGTCCTGCATCGAGGTCCCTGCAGGGAGCCTGCTTCTCCCTCTGCCTGTGTCTGCCTCTCTCTGTGTCTGTCATGAAAAAAATAAATAAAATCTTTAAAATAAATAAAAGCACTTTGTTGCATGGCGTATCCACATTGTGATATATTTAACCTGTTAACATTGTGCCGCACACATTAGCCAAATATATTTAACTCTAATATATTTAAAACTCAAAGTCATGAACATGTCATCGTTTCCAGTTTGGCTTCTTTTCTGCTGCACATGATCAGAGTCCTTGTATAAAAACCTGAACAGATGGTTTTCCAGGCCAGAGCAGATCCCTAGAAGTGGGTTTGCTGCGTCAAAGGGGTATCTCCTTTTCCTGCCTCCCCCGAAGAGTCCTGCCCCCTTCCCCACAGCCACAAAGACGCTTTGCTGTGCAAAATCCAGGGGGCATCTGGACAAGCCCCACGTACTGACCGGCGGCGCTCAGGGCAGCGTGGCTCACATCTCGATGGTGCAGAGCTTGATGGACGCTGCTAAGAGAAGTCCTGCTCCTGCCTCCCACCCAGCTCCTCCTGGCTGCACTTTGTGTGATCCAGAGAGCAAGAAAATGACAGGCAACTCAAGGCCTCTCAGGGTTTGCCACTCATGACCTGCTGTTGGGCTTGTGCAAACTTGCAGGCCAGCTTCGCTCGCTCTGTTCTATGAGGGAGCCTGCTGCCGGCCCTTCCGAGCTCCTGCGGAGGCTGCACCCCTGGGAACTGAGTTCCAAAGGCCTGAGCCTGCCGCCCTCTCCACTCAGGCGGCTCACTCCTGTGTGTGCTTCCCTCTCGTCAACCTGCGGGTTTGTGCGTATTGGCTTCCCGTCACAGTTCCCCAGGTCCCTTGTCCCCACCACGCCCTCAGTCCCTGTGGCTGGAGGAACCGCACATCCCGGTACCCCCCGGCATTCCTGCAGGTTGAAGTCACTCCTTCCTCCCAAGAAGGCCATCTTGGGACACTCCTTCCAGCCATCCGTTTATTGAGTCCATTTGAGGGAGAGCGCTGGGCCTGAAGGAGGTGGAGCTCCAGTTTGGGGAAGAAACGCAGTGCCAGGGGCATCAGGGTGGCTTAGTTGGTTAAGCTTCTGTCTTGGGCTCAGTTCATGATCTCAGGATCCTGGGATCGAGCCCTACGTTGGGCTCCCAGCTCAGTGAGGAGTCTGCTTCTCCCTCTGCCTCTGCCCCCTGCTCATGCTCTCTCTCAAATCTCTCATGCTCTCTCTCAAATAAAAATCTTAAAAAATATATTTTTCTCAAAAAAAAAAAAAAAGAAAAAAAGAAATGAGGTACCAGGAGGCAGAGGTGGAGTCTGCACTCACCAGCACAGCTTCTCCGTGACAGCCCCGCCAAGGTGGGCCCCAGGTGCCAGACTTCCCCGGGTGCCCCTCCCTGGTCCTATCAGCTAGAGTGGCGGGTAGGGGTCCCCAATCCCATTACCAAAATGGCATTCAAAGGCTTTGACAAGGGCAGGCCGGGTGGCTCAGCGGTTTAGCACCACCCTCAGCCCAGGGCTTGATCCTGGAGTCCTGGGATTGAGTCCCGCGTCGGGCTCCCTGCGTGGAGCCTGCTTCTCCCTCTGCCTGTGTCTCTGCCTCTCTGTCTCTCTGTGTCTCTCATGAATAAATACATAAAATCTTTAAAAAAAAAAAAAAAAAAAACAAAGGCTTTGACAAACACCCACCTGGAAGGGGTGAAAGGACTGAGGTTCAAAGGTCAAAAGCACAGCTCTCCAGCCGACAGACTCCCCCTTGTCCTCTTGGCCTCCATGTTTTCATGGAGATTATGTGGATTCCACTGCTGGTTGACAGTGGCCCCCACGGGGGTCCTCCTGGCCTCACCCAAAGAACAGGCACCTGTGCTGTGTGGTCATGCTGTCCCTCAGCGGCCCCTTTCTCTCCTGACGTTCTGCCCACCGCTGCCCCACTTCCCGGAGGAGGGCCCTGGCTTCTGGTCCCCCCACTGCTGCGGCACATCCCTCCTGCCAGTGGGCCAGCGTCAGGTCGCTTTCACCGAGGGGTCAGGCACCTGGATGACCCTATCAGAGTGAGCCACCCCGAGCCCCGGGCCCCAGGTGCTGAGTCTCTCCTTGTCTTGCAGGAAGAGGAGCCAGAGCTGGAGCCGGAGCCACAGCCGGAGCCGCAGCCGGAGCCGCAGCCTGAGCCGGAGCAGGATGGCCCGGAGGGACCAGCCCAAGCAGGGCCTGAGGAAGAGGACGGTGAGTGGGACCCGGCCTCCAGGTGCAGCCCCCGGCCCTGTCACTCTGGCTCTTTCTGTCCCCTTTCCTGTCTCTAAACTGTGAGTTGTCTTCCAATACGGAGGACCCGTCATGCCAGAAAACCAAGCACCCTGACCTTCCACTTCCTGCCGCACCTCCTAGCTCTGCTCCCAACACTGTGCATTTCAGTTTCTCACTGAACGTCTCCCTTATGGAGACAAAAGCCACTCACAGGCCGTTACCCAGGTGTTCTGCACGGCGAAGGCCCCACGGGAGGAGACGCCTGATTTCCAAGCAGCTCAGGTACCTGGCCAGCCCTCCCAGCCCTCAGACCCTGGCCGGCCAGGGGGAGGGGGCAGGAGTGACCCTGAGCATGAAGGAAACTGGCCAGTTAGAACCTGAGCAGGTGGAAGGCAGTGGGGTTGCCCTGGGCACCCACGGGGGCCAGTGCCCTGAACAGACAGAGAGCCAAACGCGGTGTGGGTTTCTGCTGGGTCCTGTCGTGTTTTATTGCTTTAAAACAAGCAACAAGAAAGCAGCATGTCAACATTTGTTAAATCTATATGCAAAGTACGTGGAGGACTTAATACTTGTACTCTTGTGTGTGCTTGAAATACTTCATAATTTTTAAAAAAGCAAGACTGTTGCCGTGACTTTCAGCCGACTGCTGGCAGGGGCAGTGGAAAGAGTGGGTTGCAGGAATGCAATGACCTCGGCTGGTGTGGGTGTGTGGACGGGCGGGCGGCCGGCTGCTCTGGGGGGCCCACAGCTCCCCCTGAGGTCCCGCAGGTCCAGGCTCCTGTCAGTGCTGCCTCAGAAGAACAGGGAAGGGCAGGCAGCTGCAGAGGCTCGGGGGCTGGTTCTCCCCAATCATCTGCAGGTTTAGAGACGCATGGCACCTGCGCCTGGGGTCTGTCCCTGCCTCGTGGCCCCCCACCCAGGCAGCTGCAGGGATGATGGAAGTCAGGATCCTGTTAGTGACTCGAGGACCCAGGACCTGTGGCTGCTAGAGGCCCTGGCCAGGACAAGGACAAGGGGAGGCTCACCAGCCTCCCACCCAGCCATGGGCCTTGTCATGGGCCCTCCGTCCTTATCTGACTGCTGCCCCCGGACACCCCCCATCCCCCAGCCGCCTCCTGTGAGCTCTGACAAGGCGAGGGAGGGGAGGTTTAGGGCCCCAGCTGTCAGAGGAAAAGAGGCGTGGGCCCCCAGCCCCTCTGCAGTGAGCAGCTCAGCTCTCGGGCTAATTGATTAGTGTCGCCAAGATGCCCTCCCTAAGCGACTTGGTGATTCACAGAAGGCTACAAGAGGAAGTCCTGCTCCCGGGAGGCTCTCACGTTGAAACCTCCTGGTCTAGCAAAATTGGATGCGACTGTGGATCACTTGGTACACCACATGTGATGTGATTAAGTGAAAGGCTTTTCTGCCTGGCCCGGAAAACATAAAACTAATCAGGCCTGCCCCCTAAATTGAAACCTTGAGTAGTGCCCAGCTGGCAGAATTTTTTGTTTTATTTTTCTAAAACATAGCAACACAGTGACCTTGATGTTGAGGTTAATTGGTTTTCTTTGTCCGTTGCCTCTTCTCGAGGTCCAGAATCGAGTGTTGGTGCGTTGGCTGTGAGCTCATTCTGAGACCGCAGCTCTGTGTCAGGCTTTTTTTTCCCCGCCCCTCTGGCAGGCTTTTCGGAGCTTTCCAGATAACCAGGGACCCAAGCCCCTCCGACAGCAGCTCTGAATTACTCAGCAAAGTGCCCAGATCCCCAGATGCAGGCAGTCCATACCCGGTGCTGTTGGAAGCTCCTGGTTCTGCGGGCCCGCAGGGAATGGTACTTTCCAGCCCTTTGCTGGTCAACCTGAGCGGAGCTCAGCCTGGAGGAAGAGCTGGCCCGTGGGGGCCGGGGTCTCTGGTGAGAGGGGGTGGGAATGGATTCCCGGGTCTCTGCACCAAGCCTCATCTCACCCGGAAGAAGAATGAAGGCCCCTCAGGATGATCCGGCCCCTTTCTCTGCCACCCAGTGCCACTGGCCTCCTTGCTTTGCTGGGTCTGTCTCCCCAGACACCACAGGGCTTGCTCCCTCTCAACTACCACCTGTAAATCCCCTCCTGATGCCACCCCCAGCCTACCCCCAGGGAAACTTCCAAGCAGCCCCCTCGCTGCCCCACTCCCCTGTCCTTTCTGCAGAGCACTCGTGACCAACTTCTAACTGTATTTTACTTATCTTTGCTTGCTATATGTTTTATTCACTGCTAAGTCCCCAGCACCTCGCACAGTGCTCACTAAATATTTGCAGAAAGAATGAAGAGCAAATGAACTCTTGTACAGATGTAGTAACGTCTTCCTAAGGCAAAGCTTCAGCCCCTGGGCAGTTAGCCGGGGTGAGGGAGCCACAAGGGGACTGTGCCCTGGGAGCCGGCCAGCATTCTCCTCCTGGGCGAGGCTTTGGAGAGAACAGGGCCCTCATCACATGACATTTGGGTTCTGAGTCTGCATCCAGAACCTTCTTCCTTCGGCCCAGAGAGAACCTGAATCCAAAGGGCTACGGCCTCCACCCTGGACCCAAATCAGCTTGTCTAATCAAGCGGGACAGGTGCCAGCTGGAGGTCAGGGTGGCCTGGGGCAGGATGCGGAGGTGTTCGAGATTCCTGACATTGGAGTGGCAGAGAGGTACACTCTCTAGAACAGGACTGAAAAGGACTACATGTGTGGGAGGGTGATTTGCTGGCCTTCGCATTTCCCTCAATTCTGTACGCCTTAGTGGAAACTAGACAAAACCAGCCATTCAGTCCCTGTCCTGGGGATGGCCAGGAGCTGCCTGTCCTCCACCTGCTGGGCTGAAAGACCACTTAAGGGCATCGCTTCCCAAGGGGACTCTCTCCTCCCGGATGCTCAGCCCAGGGCTATGCCCTGCAGCGCTTTTCTCCTCCACCCTGCAGCCCGTGCCTGTGTGCCCAGCACCTGCCCTCGCTCCCTGTCACTCCGCTTCTCTGCCCAGACCTCTGAGGTGCCCGCATAAGGCCTTGAGATGGTTTGTGTGTTCTCAGGCAGCTAGGAGTCCGTTCTCTGGGACTGGCAGGTCCCTATTCAGTAACATGTACCGGTTTTGATGCCCAAATTCCAAAGTGTAAAAAACGCTACATCCCTCCCATGCCCTACTGTAGGCTGGATGCATCGTTTCAGATTTCTAATAACCGGCGGGCACCCCAAGCCCCAGAACGCAGAGGATCTCAGCAGAGAGCTCAGGAGTCCCTGTGCTTCCCGGGGGGCCTCGGACCCAAGGAGATGCAGGGGACGTGGCCATCACACAGCAGTGATGGGGGGCTTCAGAGACGAGGGTAAAGCATCCCCCAGACAGCAACTCGGCGGGAGCCTTTGCCAGAGAGGGGCAGCCAGGCAGCTCTGCAGGCAGCTCAGCCGGGTCTTGGGGGTGCCCATCACTGGCTGGGTAGAGCTGCAGGCACGGTGTGAGGAGGGGGACTGATTTCTCTCCAGCTGCTTCGTCTTTGTCCCTGTATCCCCATTTCAAGTTCCAAAGAGCTCCTAAGCTGTCGTGGGATTTCACAGAGTGTGGGAGGAAAAAGGTCGCAAGCTCCTGAGGCCTGGCAGCCCAGCCGGCATGGGGTGGATGCAGGAGAGGATGGGGCCGGGCAGCCAGCCCTTGGAGCCAGCAAAAGGGAACGAGGACCCGAGCCTGTGGGAGGCCCCCTGCGCTCCAGGCCTGCGCGGGCTCTGACCCGTCTCCTCTCTGCAGGGGGAGAGGTCTTCTCCTTTAAATACAGTCCGGGGAAGCTGCGGGGGAACCAGTACCGGAAGATGATGACCAAAGAGGAGCTGGAGGAGGAGCAGAGGTAGGCCGCACACCTTCCCTGCGGGAGCCCCCCCCCCACGCCGTCTTGCCCCTGCCCTGCCCTCGGGAGGGGGGGAGCCGAGCTGGGCAGGAGAGGAGGCCCACCTCTGGCCAGCCTCCTGCCCCACCCCCACTACTCCTTTATTTTGGTTTTCGGGGTTCTGTCCTGCTCCATCAGCCTCGGTTTCCCCGGAGATGGGCCCCTTGGGGAGCCCGGGAAGAGGGCAGGGCGGCTGAGCCCCTCCCCTGCCCGCCTCGCCCCACGAGCCACCCGGGAGGAGCCTGGAGCAGAGCTGGCTGTTCCCTCACACGTACAGTTCATGACAAAACCGATCCATCACTTGGGGACAGGGTGTGATTCTTCCTGCTCATCCGCTCGGCAGCTCCCCTGCCCCCCTCGCCCGGCGTCGGCGCTCGGTTTGTTCTGCTCCACGGAGCTCCCACACAACTGCAGCCGCCTAGCTTCTCAGCTGTAGGACTGGGCCCCCCCCACACCCCGCCGGGCACCCACTGCACACCGCGGGCCTCCGTCCCCAAGTCCTCTCCGCACCAGCCCGCCGGGGTGCTGAGGAACGCCCTGGAGGCAGCAGGACAGCTGTGCCAGGCCACGGGAGAGAACGGTGGTCGGACTCCAGCGGTCCCCCCACGACCCCCCAGTTCAAACTGGAGTCTCAACGGGAGCCCAGGCTCATAGGCTTGTGGTGACCCCCACCTGCTCCTTAGCACAGGCTGGGGTCCTAGGGTCACAGAGGACAGGAGGGCTGCTTATTCGAATGCACAGCTCAGCCACCCATTTGGTGCCGCTGGTCAAGCCACTCAGGGTTCCTCGAAAGTCAGAAGCCGCTCTGCCCAGACCCCCATTTCCCCTCCTGCAGCTGCCACCAGCTCTTCCAAACCTGGCCTGGAAGGCTCTTCCCGTGGGGTGGAGGGGTGGCAGCCCGGGCCCAGCCTGAGGAAGATCCTGAGCAGGGGAAGGTGGCCTCCAGGGGAGCCCCCGGCCCCCCACTCGGTGCTGGTGACACTGCCTCTGGGTGTGACCCAGTTTGCTGCCTTTATATTTCAGGATTGAGCTGACCTCTGACCTCACTTCCCTGTAGCAAGTTCCTTAGGTCCTGAGCCACACATATTCTTGCAAATCCTTTTGGTAAGGAGATTGACTTCTCAGACCAGTGGTGCTTCCCTCCTCCTGTCTGTTAACGTGTCCCCAACACGACTGGCGCGGTCTAAACCTCCCCCCTCCGCCGCCTCCATCACCAGTTGATACATTGTGTGCACGGCGCGGTCTCGCTCTCCGCCAGCACGGGGGTCGGGGGTCGCTGTGGGACCAGGTCCCTCTGTCCGGGCTACGGGGTTCTGGGAGCCCAGGGGACACAGGTCCCTGGTGGGCCTCGTGGACCGGCTGGTGGGGAGCTAGCGCCCCCTTGTGAGGCTGGGGCAGAACTGTCGTCCCTCAGGGGAACTGCTGGGTGTCCCCCTGCCACTTCATCCCAAGCTGTGGGACAGGCAGGTTGTTCTGGTCAGAGGAAGGGGTGGCGGAGGCAGCGCTGTTCAGTAAGCTCAGAGTGACCAGAACACGGCCACTCTTTGGTTTTCCCGTTGCAATGGAGACCACGTGGCGCAGAGGGCCCAACAGAGTCAGTATCGGTCCCTTAACAGGAAACGTTTGCAGGCCCTGGATTAAGGATGGGGAGCGCTGGGTGCACCTGCGATCCCGCGAAGGTCCCCGTGGACGGAGCCAGGTGCTCGGGCAGGTGCCTGTGGATGTGAGGGTCAGTGAAACTGGAAGGACCGGTTAGGGACAGATGCCAGGCCTCAGGCGGGGGTAGGGGGTGTCAGGTCTCCAGGGTTATGGGGCTCAGAGCAGGCACCCCAGAAAGAGGGAGGGGAAGGGAAAGTCCCTTCTCTGTTATGTTTAGAGAGCAGACCCTGCATCGCCCAGGAAGGTCTTTCCCACCAGGGTCTTGGGGGACCTCTGGGGCATCGAGTCACACTTGGCTACTCCGTGGGGTGGAGACTGTGCCCCAGGGCAGCTCTTGGGGTGAAGGAGGAGATCTCCTCTGCTCGTCTGCAGGCTGTGCCCCAACTTGAGATGAAGGGGCTAGTGGACTTCATGGCCCTTAAACACACGGTCCCCGCAGAGTGGAGCTGGAGTTCACGTTCATTTTCATTCCTGTCCTTCCCCAGCATGCTCCCCACGGCTGCTGCACGCATCTGCCTGCTGCCTCCTGCCCCTGCATGCGCCCCCGGCCAGCTCACCCAGCTCACGTGGCACTGCATGGGGCCTCGTGACTCACACACCTCTTGCAACTGCTTCTGTCCCTCTCGTGGTGATGCTTGGGGTTGCAGAGGCTGGCGAGTTTGGCTCTGTCTCTCCATCTACAGCTCAGTAGTTCCCGTGTGGCCCCATGAGAGCCGGCGGGTGCAAGCTTGTTCTGGTCCCAGCTCGTCCCAGCTCGGTCTAGGAAACTGCCCTGGAATTCTAGTATGAAAAAGAACACGTATATTATCGTCAAATCACTAAAGCCACAGGCCGGCCAAGTATGCTCTCTTCTTTGCCTGTCAAATTCTTTCCGACCGCACTCTGCCTGTTTCTAATCCCTTTCCTGGCACTCTGGGTCCCGGTTGAGTTGCAAGCTAGTTCACCAAAAAATGCTGCAAATCCCTGACTTTAAATTAACTCAGCCACCAGAGCAGTGGTATCCAGAGCCCAAATCCTTAGCGGTCACACGGTCCAGCATTCCCTAAAGCCTCACTTTATAAATAATTTTCAGGGCTTAGCACTTAGGAAGCAGGACTAAAATCAAGACCCCAGATCATTCCTCTGCGTGTTTCAGTGGACAGTCCCACTCTTGGAATTGCTTGTAGATTCAGGTTCCTTGGGCACAAGAGGCAGATAAATGGTCAGGGTTCCAAATCCAGAGCTGGTGGCTGCCTAAGGAAGACTCTGCTCGGTCACTGCCTGCCCCCTCCGCCAGGCCTTCTCCTGGGGCCCAGGGCTCACAGGCGTCCCTGGCGTTGCCACGCCTGCCTGGCTGGTGGAGGGTGCCTTCCCATCGCAGCTTCTCTGGGAGGTGCCACGTCCAGCCTCAGTGTGGCTGGGACAATGGGCTTTGCAGGCTGCTGACTGCGCCTCCAGCTCCCAGAGCTAGTGAAGCTGGGGAGCTTGGCAGGAAAAAGCACCCCCGTCCCCTCCTCTCCTGTGTGCCGTCTGTTCTTCCCACCTCCTGGTCCAGAGGACAGTGTAGACCAGGCTGGCTCTGATAGATGGGAACCTGGGATCCCAGCGCCCCCGCTCCATTCTGAAGGTCCACAGAACGTCCTGACCTTTCTGGAAAAGGACACGACTCTGGTGGAAGGTGCTTAGTGCAGCAGAGCAGGCGAGGGTGGGAGGCGGCCCCGGGAGCCCAGGCTGTGGGACATTCTGGCATCCACAACCTGGTGAGTCCGCGAAGGATTTGCCGGTATGAATGTCTAGAAACACGCGTGACTCTGACCTCCAGAAGAGGGCGCCAGAGGGACAAATTGAGGGCCTGCGTTCCCTCGGAGAGACTGCGAGCTTCTGGGTGTCATTTAGAAAAGGTGCGCGTGCATCCTAGGGTGCCAGTGTCCCCAGAGGCAACAAAACCCCACCAGCGGGAACAGGAAATAGTCGAGTGTGACAGGACAACCTCATTGGGGGTGGGGGGGCAAAGGTCAGAAGCACCCCGTATGTGACCTAGAGTCGGCCCCACCTCCCCGCTCAGGGTCCCGGTCTGCCCCCCTTAACTAAATGCCTCCGGGACTCAGGACTCAGAATGGGGTTTGGCAGGCTGCTGAGGGCCGGTGCCGGGTCAGGCGGGCTCTGGGGAACAGTGTCCTGCTGTAGCCTGGCTTCTGCAATCCCAAACATCCTCCTCCTCATCCCCATTTCCCCCTTCCTCCCCCACCATCCGGGTAAGATGGAAGAAGTAAAATAAATGATCTTTTCTCCCTATTTCTCTTTACAGAACCGAAGAATAATGAAGTTATCATTAGCCTCCTGCTAAAGGCTTTTCCTTTTGGCATCTAAAAAGCTTGAGAGATAAAATGGAAATCCCCAGAGCGGAGCCACGCAGGCTCCCGGGTGCCTCTGGCCTGCACAAATGTGCTGGGACCCAGCCCCTCCATCAGGACCTGTCCCTCAGCGGGGAGGGTGCCGGGAGCGCCTTGGCCCCCCGTGGTAGAGATGCTCCCCCCTGTTGGTGTGGATTGCTTGGTTAAGCAAGGGTTTCGTAGACTTGGATTTGTCTTATCACCGTACCCTGCTTTCCCCTCGCCCTTCACACCTGTGCTATCACCAATGGCAGCCACCTTGTCATTTTAAAACCAGCAGAGCTTCATCCCCGCCCCGCCTTTTCCTTCACTGGAGCCAAATTGTGAAAGACTCTGAGGCCTGCCAGACCAACGAGGCAAAGCTCCTGTGCTGGCTAGCTGGCTCAGGGATGGTGGACGTCCTCCTTTCCCTGGAGGCCCACTTCCCTCTTTCCATCTGGGGGGCTCGGGTGTTGGGGGTGAGAGAGGAGAGTCGCAGCGGCAACAGTCCTATTACTGGCCCCACAGCGGGGAACCAGCGCCAGCTATCGATTTGTGTGGCCCTTAGACTTCCTTTAGAGGAGGCTTGAATCCGCCCCTCTTGTGGCTTGAGAGGCCTTTTCACTGATGGCTCTTCCCAGTGCAGCCGAACCTCCACCTCCGCTTCGGCAGAAGCAATAAGACTAGTTTGCTTGAAATAGGTTTCTTGACGATTATGCCTTTTCCTAGAAGGTTTCGTAGGTAAGTTAGAATTTCACCAGATAAACGAGGTCAGCCCCAGACCCGTTTCTTGGAATTTTATATTGGACAATATTTATACTATACCAGCCTAATCTGCAGTTTTTAGATGTGTTGGTTAAAACAGATTTTTTTTAAAGCAGTAAGTTTATAGAAAAATTTGTTCCATTTAATGGAAGGCCGGGATGCCACCCCCTGGGCCATGTTACATTCCCAGCCACCTTCTCCTCTGGTCCTAAAATCTTAGGTTCAGAGGCGTAGTGCAGAAAGGGCACCGTGTGCAAGCCTCATCGAGCCACGGGACGAGTAGACCTACCCTGGTTAGCACACGTGTCCCCACGCAGCAATAACAGCAGCCTCGTCCAGGCTGGGATCTTACTGATACAGTAAGTAGGTGACTCCCTCCAGGGTAGTTCCCTAATAGTTAGTTGTCTGGAATCCTGAACGTGGCTTGTAGGCACCAAGCCTCATCATGTACTCCCGATGGCTTGGATCTGTGTGTTCAGCCTTTGTTCAGCCCAATAAACTTTGAGTAGATGACCTCGGTTACTGTGTGTTCTTTCAGTTTTGCTGTGTTTTTAAGAAAGTCTCCTCTGAACCCATTAAAACATGAGCTCGCTCTCATTTTGATGCCTGTTACTCTCTAGCAGAGGAGGAGTCCTAGGTCTACCCCAATGCCCAAGCGCCACAGCCGTCAAAAATACCTGAGAATCTGTGTGCATGCGAGGTGGGCGGTGGGGGGTTGTGATTCCATCCAAGTTGCTCAGCACACACACAGCCTTTCAATTCACAGTGCTTTCTTCGGACTGTAGGGTACAGAACACCTACGGCAGGCTCCTTCTCCTCCACACAGAGGAGAAATCGCATTCCCAGGGTGACCGAGAGAGGCTGGGATTTGGGACTTCAATATTTGAGTTTCTAGATGCAGCTCTAGCCAGAAAACCAACTTCTGGTCGAGAAATACGGGGTCACCACAGAAGGAATCCATTGGGACACACATAAGCCCAGACACTGGGACCCCACGCCGCCCCAGGCAGCATTATGGGTGCTGGGTGGCCTGGTGGTCATTCCAAAGCCCTGCCACGGGGGACACACGGTGTGTGTATGCAGGGAGGGGCCGAGAGGGCCGGGTGCGGGGTGCAGCTGCCCACACAAACCACAGAAACCAGAGGCCAGCTGTGCTGACGGCACCGCACATGGAGCGGAACGGGCGAGCCCCAGGCCGCAGCTGCCCTCTGCGCTTGTGCCCCGTGCCCCACCCTTGCAAAATGTTTGCACTCCTGGGAGTTGTCCCATGCGGGTCAGATGGTGTGGCCGAGCCTCATAAAGATAAATACTTGGGTCCCAGCTGCCCATCCAGTGTGGGCCAGCTCTGTGGTGGGAGGGACGGCCCCCCCACTGGCCATAAGGTATGTGGGCAGAACAGAAGCAGGCGCCCCTTCCTCCGAGCAAGGAGACCCCGTGGGCACTTCCGCCCACACCCCTGCTTCTCAGCTGCTAATGCTTTCTGCCCTCACCCCTCACAACTGAGGCTGCTGCTAACACGTTCCTTCATGGGCTCACTCTGGGGCCACTTAACAGAAGGGGCCTCCCCCCATCGACCCCCCTCCCCCAGGACGTGCCAAGTCAACACTTGAAAGGGGGCCCCAGGGAAATCTGGGTGGCTCAGCAGTTAAGCATCTGCCTTTGGCTCAGGTTGTGACCCCGGGTCCTGGGATCGAGTCCCACATCGGGCTCCCTGCAGGGAGCTTCTCCCTCTGCCTGTGTCTCTGCCTCTCTCTGTGTCTCTCATGAATAAATAAAATCTTTTAAAAGAGAGAAAGAGAAAGAAAGAGAAAAAAGAAAGGAAAAGAAAAAAGAAAGAGGGCCCCCTGGGGGAAACAGAGGCACAGGATCCCACACGTTCACTTGGGTCCCCAGACCCGTGGGGCAGAACCAAGACTTAGAGCCTGCTTTAGGACCTTCCAGCGGAGGTGGTTCGGCCAAGCCACCTCGTGGGTTTTGAGTGGGTTTTGCTTCTGTTTGACTTTCTCCTTCCTGGAAGGCAGGCACAGCAGCGGCCGAGAGCAGGGCCCCAGCCCCGGCGCGCTCGGCGTCCCGCACCCTGCGCTGGAGCACCTTCTTCCTCTCTCCTCTCTTCCCCACAGAGTGCAGAAGGAGCAGCTGGCGGCTATCTTCAAGCTCATGAAGGAGAACAAGGAGACGTTTGGGGAGATGTCCGACGGCGACGTGCAGGAGCAGCTCCGGCTGTACGACATGTAGGCCGCCTGGCCCGCGAGGCCCTGTCCCTTGCCGGCCCGCCTTCAGCAGGCCGTCCCTCCGCCTACGTAGCCGTAGAGGTGTATCACACACGGATTGAGCGGTTCCCACAATTTAGGCCTCATTTTACAGGAATCAGTATCGTCTTCAGAGTTCGACTTGTTTGCTAAGAGAATGCTCCCCTGCTGCTCGCGCCCATGCAGTTACGGAAGCTTCCAGAAAGCCTTCTGAGGCAGATTGAGGGCACAGCGTTGTTAGGCTGGACACCCAGGCAGCAGGACCCATTGCCCATCTCCCCCATAGCACCCCTGAATCCTTTCCACACCAAGTGCCCGGCGGGGGTGGGGGTGGGGACTGTGCCAGGGGCGCCCAGCTGCTGCCTGGGCCGGCTCTGAGCGTCCTTTTAGCAAAAACTCTAACTCAACACCCACCTTCCATGCTGGAACAGGTCAGTGTTCTCAGAGTTGAGACCCCCTGAGAGCTTCTCCCATTTAAGCGTGAGACTTCCTTCACCCACGAGGAAGGCAGGCTCATTTGAGTTATTGTGCACCCAGAACGACGCTCGCTGCTAGAGAGCAGTCAAGGCTGCGACATGGTGCCCACCCTTAGGGGGACTAAGGTCGCCCAGAGAAAACACGCATGTGTGCAGGGAGGGAGCATCTCCCCAGACAGCATGCAAACCCCAAGGTGACTTGATGGGACAGTGTCTGGGAGGCCTTAGGGGGTCAGTCCCCTCCCAGGGGTCAGCCAGCGTGGGATGATGCAAATGCAGCAGCTCCCTGGGCTGCACAGGCCCTGGTTTCTGTTCACCCCATTAGCAGGAAAACTCATAGTACGAGGAGTTGGGGGCGGGGGGGGGGGCATCTGCTAAAGAGAGGACCTATGAGGTTCTTACCAATATTTTGTATTTGCTGAAATAAAGCTAAGTCAACACAATGAACTCAAGCCTTGGCGTTTTGCACACCTCACATTAGTGATGGCGGGGGCGGAGTTACTCTCCCTCCATCCTCCTGCTGGCTACTAGAATTCTCCTCGGGGACCTCCCGTCTGTTGCTATAATTCCTTTTTGCTTCCTTGTCCACAGTCCCCACAGGAGGAGGGTCTGCTCTCTGTTCTGTCCAAGTGTCGGTGGTTCTTTCTTCTTAAAAAATTATGTCACTTTTTTTTTTTTCTTAAATTATGATTTTGGAGTTCTTTGCTCCCTTTGTCACACCCCCCCCCAGGGGCGCCTTCTACATCATTTCATCTTCCCTCCCTCTGAATGTGGGCTGCGGGCAAGGCCGCCTCCCCCAGGGCCGCCCTGCCCTTCGCATTGCCCTGCTGCCATTTTATCAGCCTTCTTCTTCTCCTGCCTGGATCCTTCTTCTCTGATTACACCAAACAGGAAGGACTTGTGGGTACTCGAGTCAAAATTCCCATGGCTATGGGAGGTAAACTCAAGGAACGTTGTAACCTTGGATCAGCTAAGATGTTCCAATGGCACATTCCAACTTAAGCCAGAGGGGAGCTGGGTCACGGAGGAGTCCAAAGGCAGAACAGGCCCCAGCTTGCAGTTCCCAGGGCTCGGTCTTCCTCCCGTTGTGGCCTTCTGCGGCCCACTGGCTCTCCTCGTGCTTGCAAGACGGCTGCAGGAATCCGGGGGTCACATCCAGATGCAGGAAAACAAAGTGGCTCTGGCTTGTGTCTCTAGTAGGAGTTAGGGAACAGGTGCACCTGCAGCCCTCCTCCCCCACCTCCCTTCAGGTCCCAGTTGGCCAGAATAAGCCATGTGTTCACGCCTCAACGATCTACAGCAAGGCTGGCCATGGCTGGCTGGGATTCAGGCAGTGTCCCCTGAACACAGGAGCAGAGAACTGGGCCCCATCGGGAGTCTGTGAGGAAGGGATGGGGGACGTGGTTACGGGCAGACGCCAGGACCACTGTGTCACCTGGTGGGGACTTGGGAGCCCCTGAAGCATGCTGCAAACACCACCCTGCACACCCCCCCCCCCCGGGGCAGCCGTAGTTGCCCAGGCTCCACGGTGGGCCTCTGATGCTTCGGGGAAGCACCTCCTGCTGGCTGGGGCTGTGGGCTGCCCTGATGCCATCTCCAGATAGGCGCCCACTTGTGTTTATACCACCCGTCACCCCATCTGCCTCCCCGGGGCACCCTCGAGTCCATCTGTGATCCAAAGAGTCCCCTCAGAACCCGCTTCAAATTGACGCGCGGGAACGCCTGGGTGGCTCAGCAGGTTGGGCGTCTGCCTTCGGCCCAGGGCGTGACCCCGGGGTCCCGGGATCGAGTCCCACGTCGGGGTCCCTGCGTGGAGCCTGCTTGTCCCTCCGCCTGTGTCTCTGCCTCTCTCCGTGTCTCTCATGAATAAATCAATAAAATTTCTTTTTTTTTTTTTTTTTTTTTTTTAAACTGACGCCCGGGTGTCCCATCAGATACCAGTATGCTCCGGCGCAGGAGGATCCAAGCGCCCTGGGACAAAAACGTACCTGCAGATTTAGAACCCATTTCTAGAAGCTTCCTGGAGCCCCCGGGGTCGATGGCAAGGGCAGGACACACGACCACGAGGGGACACCCCACCCTGCAAGCCGAACCCCAGAGCGGCCCTGGGCGGAAGAAAACGGCCTTGGGACCATGAGGGCCGCTAAGGCGCGCGGGCACTGAGGGGAGGACGCTCCCCTGCCCACGAGTGGGACTTCCGCAAGGCAGGCCGCGGCCAGGGCGCTCGCGGCCTCATCCCCTTCTCGCGTTAACAAGCTCCCCTTTGACAGACTCCGAGGCTCCTCGCCCCCGAGGCCCGACGGCCGCCCCCTACCACGCGCGGCGCAGGCAACACCCGACCGCGCGGCCTCCCGGCTCCCCGGCGCCCGCCCCGTCCCGACGCGGGAAGCCCCGGATGTCCGGTCGCGCTTCCCCGGTGATTGACACGCGCATTTGTCCAATGACAAGGGCGGGCGGGATCGCCCCGCCCACACCTGGCCGCGGGGGCTGCCGGGTACCCGCGCCCCGCCCCCGCCCCCGCAGGCCGCCAGCAGCTCGCGTCGGGACGTCGGTGTCTGCACCCCGGAGCTCGCCGCGCGGGGTGCCGCTTGGCGAGCTGCACGGCCCAGGGCCGGGAGCCCCGCGCAGCCCCCGAGCAGTGCACCCGGCTCGACCCCCGCGTAGGGCCGCTGCCCCCAGGAGCCCACCGACCGTCTCCAGCACTCCCGGGCGCGCCCTCCAGTCCCGCAGCTGAGTCCCACACGAACACACCTTGTTCTTCACACTCCCGGTTACACCCGGGCCCACGGCGAA